CAACTACTAGTACAGAAGTACTACACCACTGCTACAGCAGTACTACACCATTACTACAGCAGTACTACACCACTACTACAGCATGAAGCTAAAACAGACTTAATAAAAAAAGATTTCCTGAGGGATAATGCAGCTTTTGCATATGTTCTGCTTTCTGGTGAAAATTTAAGTTTAAAGTAGTCCAGAATTTGGGAGTTTTTCTATCCTATTAAACTTTTGTAAAAAATAATAAAATTTCCTTTAACTGCAAATTTCTGCAAACCTTTTCTGTTTTTCATTTGTCGTTCTGATTTATTTAGATGGAACTATAGAATGAATGTGTTCGCTGCATAAAGATGGCAATGAAATGGCTTTAATCTTGTGTTTGGTTTAATGATGACATGTGGTCCCCATGTCCTCCAGCAGCACAGGCCAATAGCAGCATAGCTGTAGCGATAGCTAAGGATAACCTGAAACAGTAGTAATCCTAAACTACAGCAAAACTACATCAGTGCTTTTCTGCATTTATGGGTGTAACATGGTTTGTAGTACCTTTTGTGTTGCTCACTATATTGATATGTGTTCTAGGTTTGGTGTGGGGGAATCTCCGTGGCGACAGGCCTGCAGGTGCCGAGCTTCATGGGAAACTTTATGTCGACCAATCGAGGTCTGCCAACGGACCAATGAGCAGCTTCTACCTGATCCAGATTTAATCTTTTATGTCTTTATATTGATTATAGAAAATATTTATAGAAAAATCTTCTACGTGAATTTAAAAAAGGTTTTATTGATTAGCTGAGTCTGGGCTTTTATTGTGAAGAACCCATATTTTATGTCCCAGGAAGGCGGACAGATTGATACTCTGGACTTTCACAGTAAAAGCTTGTGTTTTATCTCCTTATGAATTTAATTATTATGCTTTTACTGATTCTGAATTCAGATATAATTTAAAAAAGCATTTAAAAATCACATTAGAGCAGCAGAATAATGTTAAAATTTAAAGATGTGTCATTTTGTTTTGATGGACTGATGATTTGTTTCTCTGAATAAACTTCCTGTTAAATCTCAACCAGTTGTCATGGTGATTCAAAACAAATTAAACAGATTTATTTTGGTCAGTTCAACAGACAGGAAGTAATCTTTATATCATCGCTGGTTATTTTTCTTGCTATAGATGGCCGCAGTAAGGTTGCCCATGGCAACAGGTTGATCATGGTGAATCATCTGATAAACCTAAAACCTTAAATCCCCAAATTATTCAAACCCCAGACAAGTTCTGGCTGAAAAGTTGACTGGAAGTACTGGTGATGAACTGGACCAGGCCAGTTAGAGTCTAACCCAGCTGAAGATTAGGGTGATGGTAAAGAGGCCTTGCAAGGGGAAAGACTTTGTGATCAACATAAAAAATTTATCATTTTAATAATTGAGAACACAGAGACTAAATACTACATCCTTCTCATCAGACTGGGAAAACTGGGTTCATACTGGGAGAACTGGAATCATGCTGCCCAGTGAATGTTTTAGGTTTATTTCTTCAGACAGATCTGTTTTATTTTCTTTCTTTTATTTTTTTTACTAAAATGAAAAATAAAATCCTTTAATTTAAGCAAAATACAATAAAATCCACAAAGATAAAACAATTCCAACAAAAGAACAGGATAGAAACACCTGAGATGAAGTGAAAGAAGAGCAGGGTGGTCTCCATGGCAACAGCACAACAAATGGAGAGAAGAAGAGACACTGGTGAAGATCAAAGTGACGTGAAGGTCCCGATCCAGCGCCTCAGTTTGCTGCCATGCAGCCGCAGCTTTGGTCAACGATGATCTGATTAAGGATCTGATTTAATCTCTACGTTTTTATTTAGTTTAGCTTTTTTTTAATCTGTAATGAGCTTTTATTACATGTACTGCTTTAGAACTTGCATTTAATTGCATCTATGGTAATCTGAGTAAAAGGTTCTATCAAAGCAGCAGCTTGTTTATCATAAGCAGGGTCTGGGATCCTGAACTGAAGAAGTTCTGTTAGTAGAAAGTGTTTTAACTGGAGGTTCTAGCCCTAAATGATCAGACCAGAGTGAAGGAGGACCAGTATAAGACCTGAAGATCCAAACGGACTGAGAGGAACTGGAGACGTTTCAGGACGTCTCACTTCTCTGCTTCCTTCAGATATTCTTCCCTCCTCATTTAAAGCCAGTGTTTTCTCTGATGCGATGTTCACTAGAACTTCCTCTCTGACCCGGAAGAACAGAGCCGACGGGTGAGTTCAGGTTCTAGCTGATATTTTTCTGTCCTTTGGTTCCGTCCAGCTCCTTCTCTCCTGATTCTGCTCCACTCCACCAGGCAGGTCATTATTCATCAGGTGCTTGGCTGCTGATTGGCTGCTGGTTGGCTCCTGCTTGGGGTGATGATGATGTGTTTCCGTGGAAACCGGGATGAGTTTTATGGGGAGGTCCTCCTATTGGATGGCAGGAGGCTGCCTCTGACCTCTGAGCAGGGCATCAAGGTGAAGGTCACCTCCTGTTTTCTGATTGGTTCATCCTGCTCAGAGCGGCTTAACTCCTCCCTCTCTGCCCCTCAGAGGTCTTCCAAGGCGGCGGCCATCTTCCAGCTGGTGGCTTCTCACCTGAACCTGGTCCAGGTCCAGTTCTTCGGACTCAGATTTTGCGACGTCAAACAGCGTTCGGTGAGAATAAACACAGACGATGCGATGCTGTGTCATGGTGTAACCTCAGAGATCATGTTTCTCGTTTGTTCCAGTTCTGGTTGGATCCGACCAGAACTCTGCTGCAGCATCAAGAGCTCAGTAAGGATGAACATTTTTATTCAAACGCTTTAGATTTTTATTTCGTTAACTTTTCCCCCTGGTTTGTCTCAGTCGGGCCTCCATACATTTTCTACTTTGGAGTAAAGTTCTACGTGGAAGATCCAGTGAAGCTGCCGGACGAAACTACAAGGTCTGGTTGTATGGAGTGAAGTTTGCTCCATAATTGCTATAAAAAAAGGAAACAGTTTTTAATGGAAATCCAATCTGGAAATAAGACAAAAAAAAAAAAACATCTTCGTCATAAAAGAGAGTGACTTAACAGTTCCAAAATAAAAAAATACCTCTATAAAACCTCAAACTCAACGCCATTGCTTACAGTTTGAATTGAAAAAGCTTCCTGGATGGAAGAGAAACGTCTTCAAACTTGGAAACAAAGTCCAAACAAACAAAGTTTTTTTTTCAAATTATTAAATTTTTTTCTAGATGTTTTTCATGTTTTATTTTTTCAAATGTTATTTTTTTTTTATTAACTTTTTGAGATTAAATTTACAGATTGGATTTTACAGATCACTTTCTCTTCACTTCTAGAGGCGTGCTTTCCGCTGGATTGATGAGAAAAATCACATTTCTACTGGCTTGTATAGTCTTCATGGATGTTAGGAACATTTTTATTGGTCACGCACAAGCAGATTCTAGTAATTATAAATCTAAAAAAAAAAATTTGAAAAAAAAAACTAAGGTTTGAAAATCTAAATAACAAATCAATATTGAAAAAAAAAAATACTGATTTGGAAAATTGTAATCTAGGAAAACAGAAAAGTTACTCTTAAAACAAAAGGTTCACTTCAGGACTATTTTTTTTTATTTTTCAAACATCCATTAATGAGTTAACCACTTAACGAGGTTTAATGAGTTCATCTTTATCAAATCCAGAACCTGACCATAAAACAGCTTTTATGAAGCTTGAATTGCCACCAGGGTCAAAGGTCAGAGATACTCCTGCTTTTCAATTCAATTCAGTTAATTCATAACACATGTCATCTCAAGACCGTTTCCAGTTCACCAGATCATCCAGTCAGATTGATTCAAAGTTTTCTATCTAAGGAAAACCAGCTGATTGCATCGATTCATTGACTCTTCAGCAATCCCTCACACTAAGCATGCTTGTAGCGACAGTGGAGAGGAAAAACTCCCTTTTAACAGGAAGAACCTCCAGCAGAACCAGGCTCCGTGTGAGCGGCCATCTGCCGAGGCCCACTGGGGTTCAAGGAGACAGAAGCAGACAAAGAAAAAGAAGCATAGATACAAAAGGCAACTGTCAACCAGCTCCACAGGCGGCCCCGTCCAGGAAACACACAGCCAGGCAGACGAGCTCCGAGCCAGCTCCCATGTCAGAGGATGAAGAGAGCACATCCAGTTAGTCACAGTCAGAGAAACAGGACTACACTGGAAAACAGGCCAAGCTCCAACATCTAGAAACAAAGGTGTTGATGGCAGCAGCACAGCTGATATTTCTCTCCAGGATGGAGTCACAGCCAAACAGGAACAGACCAGATGAAGCTACTATGAGGAAAAGCAGAGAGAGCAGAACGTTAGAGATTGAACTAACAGATTCTGCAGAGTGGGAGAATAGAGATAGAATGAAGCAGAAAAAGGGGTCCCTATGTCCTCCAGCAGTCTAAGCCTATAGCAGCATAAATAAGGAGATAGAGAAGAGAAGAGAAGCTATAGCGATAAATTATCAGCTGCTCTCCAGGTGCTCTGACCTGTTTCCTGGGGTCTCCACTAGGGGGCACTACAGAGAACCAGAGACCATCTATGACCCCTATATTTTATTACCCCCATTTTCTGCTCAGGCAGGTCCGGCTCTGTCAAAGCTGCATTGCTGAAACTGATGTGGACACCTGATGGTGACGCAGTTGTTTGTGGTTTCAGGGGTCAGTTTTACTTGCAGCTCCGTCAGGACATCCAGAGAGGGGTTCTTCCATGCCCCGCCCACCTTAAACCCCACCTTTTGGCCCTGATGCTGCAGGGTGAGGGTCACAGAGACGCCAACGATCACTGATCAATGAGCTGAGAGCAGCATGAGACCAGCAGCTGTGTTTCTCTGTCTCAGCGGACCGCGGGGACCACTGTGGAGAAACAACGTCTGAGGACCAGCAGGAAGTTCAGCTCATCCATCGAACACTGAGGTACGCAGGAAGTTAATTAATGCACCAGATTCTGATCATCAGCTCTGTGATCGATTAGTTATAGACTCTTCCTGTTGCTGTCCAGCGGAGTCCCCCGCCTTCAGGCTCAGAACCACTTCCTGTCCCTCTGCAGCTCGCTGCAGATGTATGGCGTCACCCTGTTCGCCGCCTGCGTACGTTGACCCTCCCCCCCCCGGCCATTGACTCATCAGGTCACCATCTGAGTCTCATGGGTCTGTGTCTCCTGCAGGGGCAGAACCACACCGAGTACTTCCTGGGCCCAACCCCAGTGGGTGTGGTCATCTTCAAGAACAAGGTGCTGGTGGGAAAATATCTCTGGTGAGTGAGACCTCCCCACATGTCACCGACGACCAATATGGCTGATCAGATTAGAATTGAGCGTCTCCACGGTGACAACACCTACTTATCAGATGATCTGCTGATTAGAGATCAATAACAGAAACTAACGGAAGATTCTTATTCTGCAGCATCTCATCTGAGGACCTGGAATCTAAAATCATCAGACCTTTAGCATAAAAACATCCTGACAGAAAGACACATCATACCAGGAGTCGTTCAGGATGTTTTCTTTTCTACTAAAGGTCTCTGTAAAATCATTAAAGGGGTTATAGATTGATTTTATAGGGTCCTTCAGGTCTCTAATAGGGTGTGTAACATTGGTTGGGCTGAAAATGTCACATTAGCTGTTCTATGAGCCCTAATGCAGCCTGGTTTAAAGCCCTAGAATGAAACCACAGGTTTTCTTCCTTTTATGGTATGATCATGAATATTTAGATGAGCTGTGCTCTGATTGGTCGGTTTACAACGAGCCAAGCTGCTGAGCAAAGACGCATCATAGCAACAAGCATCCACTCACTGAAACGTCAGATTGTTGATATGGTAGGGGGACCAGACGTCCTCTTTTTCCCGGACATGTCCTACTCTTCATACCTCTTAGGGGCCCCATCACTGACACCTCGTAGGCCCCCTTCGCAATTGTAGACTAGGACGTCTGATTGCAGACGTAATTATGCGAAAAATTCCCCTTAAACCCACCTGACACTAGATAAACTGAGCTAACTGTGTATAGATCATTAGACGGTTTGTAAAAAATACGCTTATATAATATGTTTCAAACCGCAATAAAGATCTTAAAATTTTATTTTTTACACTACCCCTTGGAATTATGGGTAATCCAGAGTGTTGTACCTAATATGGGGCCCATCCAGATAATGTTGATTACCTGCTTATTGTTGTGTCGTTTCATCATCGATTAAAAACACTTATCATTTATTAAACAGTATGTAATAATTTTATATTTAAAGTACTTTCAGAAGTTTGAATTCTGAATATGAGCGGACTTTTCCTTTAAATATAATATTTAATCATAGAGCTGAGAGTAAAAATAAACAAAAGGAATTTTCGAAGCTAATAAATTCAGTTTCAAGTCATTAAATTCGATTTAATTTGAATAAAATCTTTAAATTTCAGAGTACATGAATACAGATTAGGTCCCTGAATATCACTTTCTGATGGGGAAAGTTTCTGATCATATTTAGACTAAACTTAAAGATTGTTTTCAATGAAAGAAAAGAACAGAAGTTTATCAATCATAAAAAAACAGTTGGGATTCTCAGATACATGAAACCAAAACTCTGCCTCCAGCTTCTGCACGTCATACCCGCCATCTGACCAGAGTCCTGTTGGAAAGAGTTGCTGCCCTTTGGATGATTAAAATATATAAAAATTATATAAAATGTTTTCTCAGACTGACTGAGTTCTGCAGTGATGTTGCTTTAAATATGGCGCTTTAAAGAGTCCCTTCCCTCTGGTTCCCTCAGATGATAGCAGCATCTTTGAGAACCAGAGACCCGAGCAATCAGTGGTCAGATCTAAGCAGGCGTTTCCCATCATGCATTGCAGCAGCTAACACTGCAAAAAATTTAAATCTCAATAAGTTTTTTTCTTAAAATAAGTGAATTTTTTTCTTGAATTAAGGAGGTAAGGGAGAAACTTTGCCAATGGAACAAGAGAATTTACATTTAAAATAAGAAAAAAACAAGTATATTGTCTTATTTCAAGGGCATATTATCTAATTATCTTATTTAAAGAGTAAAAATACTAATTCCATTGGCAAATCATCTCATTTACCTGCTCAAATTAATGGTAAATACACTTAATTTAAGATATTTTTACTCATATTTAGATCATTTTTGCAGCTAACGCAGCTCATCCTGGATCCTGACTCAGCTTCAGGTCTCCTGTCTTCTGTTCTTCAGGCAAAGAATCACCAAACTACGCTTTAAGGACGAGACCTTCGAGCTCCAAGTCTGCAGCAGAAACGTGAGCTCCCATTGGCCGACAGATGATGATGAGGAAGAGGTTGATGAAGATGGTGATCAGATTGTGTTTCAGGGCTCGGAGGCATCGTTCTTCTTCCAGATGTACGATCGCTGTGACTGCAGGCGTTTGTGGAGGTGCTGTGTCGAACATCACGCCTTCTTCAGGTAACGAGGGAACGTCTACATGAAGCAGCAGCGGGGTCAGAACCGGCTCTGGATGGTCCGGTTTAGCAGAAACATCAACAGGAGGAGAGAATACCAGGAGCATAAATGCTGTAACTTTATTTATTTAATCAAATAACTTTCAGACTTTCATGTTTTATTCTGTAAACTCGCACCTAACTGGCTGCGTGTTTAAGCAACAGATTAAAGTGCAGCTCCAGCTCAAAGGAAACAGTAACTTTACACACATTCTAAAGTCGTAGGGAAATCATATTTAAATATCAAAACATTCTGGATTAAACATGTATATAAATGAACTCTTTATCAGAACATATTGTTTTTTTTAAATCCTTTCTTAAAATCTGTGGGTTTTTTCCGTTATCTTATTCAGGCCAGTTAGTTCTACGTCTAGCCTCACGAGGCCATCCTGATTTCGCGAGCTTTCAAGGTTTCACTCGCAGATCAGTCTGGAGACTCTCCGTTAAAAAAAATTTGGAGCCGTTCACCAAACGAACGTCCAATCAGCGTTGGCTTTGAGGCGGGTTGAGGTGTGACGCAACGAGAAGCGCGACAGTTCAGTCTAAAGAACATGGCGGCTTCAGCCGATGAAACTAGCGTTAGCGTGGCTATCGAGCAAGTTTTATCCGAATTACAGAGTATTTCTTCACTGGAAGAAGAGCAAAACACTGCTCTGGAGGCTTTTCTCAGAGGAAAAGATGTTTTTGCTCTTCTCCCGACTGGTTTGTGGTTGTGTTTTCGTCGTCGCTCTGTTAGTATGTCATATGCTTCGTTGATCTGATTGGTTTATTTGGCCCGTCTATCACCAACATAGGCCAATCAGCTAACCAGTGTTTTCGGCCCTTCCCAAAATTTCTTCAACGGAAGGTTTCCAGATGGATATGCGGAGCAAATCCATCTGGCGGAGTCAGGTTAATTATAAACCTTGTTATTGCCAATATTCATGCTTGTCCTTCAGCATGTACTGCTAGGATTATAAGGCTACGAATAAGGATATATAAGGCAGTACAGCTGCTTCTATATTTGGCAAGCGAGCCAGAATATTCTACATCAGCATCTAAATTCATATGTCGCAGCTAATGTAAGAAACGGTTGAAATCAGAATCCTTTCCTTTCCCATTGAGTTGCGTCCCAGTGTTCACGGGGATGGACGTCTGTGTCTTCGGCAGGCGTAGAGCTAACAGAACTGGCAGCGTTGCGAGGCAAGGGCTCAAACATGTACGGCTGGAAGCCTTCTACACCAAACCAAGCTTCTGCCGCCCTGGCGTCCTCTTTCACAACATCTTCGTCCCCGCTTTCCTCCTCTAAATAAAAAATGGATGACGGAGGAGACTCATCCACGACCTCCGACACTAAACTCTCCTCCTCTTGCATGTTTCCGCTGTCCAGCGTCGTTTCTAAGTCACCAATTTAGTGCTACTTGGTCCCAATGGAATTTCCCATTGGGAACCTGCTAGCACTAAGTTGCTAACTGGTTAGTAAGATGCTTCCAACAAACCGGCCACAACCAAACATGCTTGCGAACCTTCCGCCACAACAACCCCGCCATCTTGATGATCGACCAATGAAATTCACTTTATTCACTCGTGTAAAGTCGGGAACCACTCGGGAGAATTCAGAAATGCAGCGGTTGGAACGGCCGCTTCGCTACAACTTTAAAATAAATTCAAAACTTCAGTCCATCCATCCATTTTTCGTCACGCTTATCCCAAGCAGGGTCAATAGGGGTGCTGGTGCCTATCTCCAGCTGTCTACAGGCGAGAGGCGGGGTCCACCCTGGACAGGTCTGCAGTCCATCGCAGGGCAACACAGAGACAAACAGGACAAACAACCATTCACACTCCCACCTAAGAGAAGCCAGTTCACCTAATAGTCCTGTTTTTGGACTGAGGGAGGAAGCCAGAGTACCCAGAGTGAACTCATGCATGCTTAGGGAGAACATGCAGAAAGACCCCGGGCCAGGAACTGAAACTGCGACCTTGTCGCTGCAAGCAGCAGTGCATTTTTCTATTAATGTATTGGAAATTCAGCTATCTAACAGTATCAATAATCAATCTGTTTATTTCATGTTATATTTATTCGTTTCATGATTTATTTATTTCATTTTTCCTCATTTAACCTTTAAAGTAAAGTCTTATCATACAACCATACTGACCTTTAGCTACGCCCTGGAAGTTACAAACGGATTTTGTGTTTGCAGGATGTCGGACGGAAACACGGCGACGCTGCGTCTGAAACACAGCAGGTAAACCGTCTCCGCCAACCGTGGGATCAGAAAAATACAGCCGTTCATCATGTTTTTCATCAATCCTACAGTTTCGCCCGCTCTTCATCTCTGACTCTTCCTCGGCTAAAAGGCAACCGGCTGAAAAGTCTTGACAAGAAAACAGCAGCAGACGATTGTGCGAAAACCAAACCGTTCAGTACGTTTAAATTCTTTCACTGTTTGTTTGCAAACTCTCTGTTCAAAAGCCCTGAAAAAAAGAGAGCCTCAAAATAAAATAAATCTTATATAAAGATTTTTCTGTTTCTTAGGATTGTTTATTATTTACCAAAAATGGTCTAATAATAGCAGGTTGCCAACTTTGAACTGTAATTGAGCTGAGTGCTTTGGCTCCACCCCTTTTTTCTGTCAGCCAATCAGAAAGCAAGTGAGATCAGCGAGCAGATGATCCGGCAGATGGCGCCTGCTGCTGTTCAGAGGTCAGAGAGAAATTAGCTCTAGAAATAGAGCTAGAGTTCTGATTCAACTGACCCCGCCCCTTCCAAACAGGTCAGAGGGCGGAGCTACGGTTGACCTCATGAAGCCCAGTGCACCATGGGAAAACAGCCAATCTGTAAAGTAAGCAAACAACTGGTTGTAGCGTCTGTAATTTCATTTCTTGAATCATATCATTGCTGCACATCAGATCTCCACATTTTCTAATCCCAGAACTACTCCTCATGTAATCTGATTACAAGTCAAAAAGTCTGACTGAGACTTTTTGCAAATCAGTTAATCTGTCGATTTTTTTTTTAATAATTAGATAGTAAAAGTTTCCTTAAAGAAGATTTTTTTAAAACGAAATTGAACCAGGTGGAAGTAAAACTTTTACACTTGAGGAGAATATTGACAGACAAATACGTTTTTTTTTTGTTTTTGTTTTTTTATCTTAAATGCAAAATGCTTAAATATATATTTTTTTTTTTACAATTTTGATATAATTCCTGCTCTAAGTGGGTCCCCCTGTCAGCTAAAGGCATGTCTTACAGTCTCTATACTCCATTTAACGATTAATCGATTACTGAATTAGTTGACGATTATTTAAATAATCGATTAATTGCGATTAATCCGATTAATTTTTTCAGACCTAAATCAGATTACTGCACCGGCTCCTACAGCAATTACAGAAATCAGATTTTCACTCAAACATAATTACAGCACGCATTCATTTCATACCTGCTCTGGTCAGTCACAGAGAAGGGGAATCACTGTTTCTGATATTTTTAAATATTCCTTCTGTTTCCTGTAATCCAGACATTTATTCTGGATGTAATCTGATTACCAACGTATTTATTTCCAGAGGCCTTTTCAACCCAAAGTTTCCATCAAACATCAGAGAAGAACAAGGAGGTCAACAAAGGTGACATAGAAACTAACTAACTAACTAACTAACTAACTAACTAACTAACTAACTAACTAACTAACTAACTAACTAACTAACTGAATTATAAACTGACAGTATGGCTGTCCTAGTTGACAAATTAATTGAGTGACTGATTAACTGACTAGAATAACTAAATATGACTAACTGGCTATTTAACTTGTTAGCTTTATGACTGAATGTTTTACTGATCAGGTGATTGAGTAGTTGACTACCAAGTTGACTGACTGGCTGAATAGGTTACTAACTACCTCACTGAATGACTTACCAATTAACTAACTAACTAACTAACTAACTAACTAACTAACTAACTAACTAACTAACTAACTAACTAACTAACTAACTAACTAACTAACTAACTAACTAACTAGTTCACTGACTGACTAACTGGTGAATTAA